GTTCTCCTTACTTCTACAACCAAGGTCATGCCATCTGCATAGTGCAAGTCTTTATCCAACTGTGATGCTACATTCTTCTTCATAAAACCCAGCTTCTTGAACAATTTGATCAGTATAAAGATTAAATAGGTATGGAGAAAGGATACAACTCTGATACACTTTTCTTAATTTTAAAATATTCTGTATTCCCTTCCTCTGTTCGGACAGTAGTGACTTCATCTAGGTAGCAATTTCATTTAAGTATAATTACATGTTCTTCTCAATATTAGCCATAGATTATTATAATCCACACATTCACAGGCTTTTCCATAGTCAATATAACATAGATAGTATACATTCTTCTGGTACTATCTGCATTCACACAGGACCTTTCTGGCATCAGGAGTAATATTTCACAGCCTTTTCTGAATCCAAGTTGACCTTCTAGCTGTTCTTTATAAATGTACTTTTATAGCTGTTTTTATCACATGCAAGTTTCAGCAATACTTCACTTGCATGTGATATTAATGATATTGTTCAATGATTTCAACACTATATTGGATCACCTCTCTTGGGAATGGGAGCAACTATGCATCTCTTCCATTCAGTCAATCCATATTGCATGACCTTGCTTGTTGAGAGTGAGGAGGACTTGAAATTGTCTGTTCATCTCTTTTACTTCAGCATCTCTTCCCTTTGATTTGGATACTTACCAATCTAATGCAATTTTCAGAGTCTTTGGTGTTACCCACTTTGTCTTATCTTCCTCCTCTATCTTTGTAACTACCTTTTGTTCTCTTCATGAATGATACCTTTTTCTCCCCCTCTGGTAAATACATATTTTTATGTAATGTATATGTTTATATATTCAAAGTGTTACCTGTGTAAATATTTGTCTTTCAAACACTTTGTGTTAATAATTTCATAACATGTTCATCATGCTCTACAACAACCATCATTATTCACATTCAAACTTTTCCATCACTCTTAACAAAAGGACACTATCCATTAAGCCACATTTTAATTTGTCTGCAGATAAATTTATGATATTAAAGCTGAACATAGAAATTCCGTATTACTCAGCTATTCCACTACTTGGAATACAGCCTGAGAATATGAGAACTGAGGCACAAACTGAGATTTGTACACCACTGTTCATAGCAGCATTATTCACCATCGCAAGAACATGGAAAGAGCCCAAATGTCCAACCACAAATGAATGGATTGAAAAATTATAGTATAGTACATTCACAGTGGAATACTATGCAGAACGCAGGAGCAATAACTTTGTAAATTTTTACCTAACTTGGGAGGGACTGGAGAGTATTATGCTAAGTGAACTAACTCAGTCCCACAAAGATAAACATTGTATAAGACCATTATTGTAGAATGAGTATAAGGATCCAGGAAGGGTGGGAGAGGCTGGAAGCAGAGGGAAGTGGGTGTACAGGAATAATACCTTTGATGACATCCCACCATTCCTCTGGTCTTTGATGGTTAGTGTTCAGTGCTTCAGACCTATTCTTGAGATGATTTTTAAATTTAGATAGGATAGAGACAAGGTTGTATTTTGGTTCTTGTGAATTTGCTTTCGTTTTCTTTAACTTCA